AAATTGAGATTCAAATAAATCCTCTGTGTGGGTGTCACAAAGAGTGTGAAGTGTAACAAAAACACCACTATGCACTTTATACTTATTTGCCCCGTGTATATTACATATCTTTCAGGTTAAATTCAGGCCACAAAAATACATCACCTGTTTTCTATTATTGGTTATATGTACGAGTATGTATAAGCTAATTGTAAATGTGGGAGAGCCACACTTCAACACGAATGGGCCAGACCGGAGAATGATACCCTGGCCACACAGAAAACCGGCGTAGAACAACTACAGCATTGCGTTTTGTCGTGTGGGTGAGGTTACATCACCAATCCTTAAATCCCCAAAATCCCTTATCCCCAAAAGGCGGGCAATATACTACGAGAACCGGATTTCATTGACCATTCGTGTGTTTCAAACGTAGATCGAAAGGAGACACATATTTTCTATTGCGTCTTATACACATCCCGACATTGAACGAGTTAAAATCAGATTACCAGTTTCCATCAATTTGGAAAACCGGCCTTCGTATGAAAATACACGCGCATAAACGCTCAGAACGTAGCAGATACTAATATACCGACTAACTACCTCCACCATTATTTTATAACAACTAACCACTATATAAAATTATGATTTATATATCCATTTAAATATCTATAAATTCTATTTCAATGAATCCATCTTGCGGTTTACCGTCATCATGAACTTAACCTCATGTTTACATCGCGTACCTAATTGGGTAGTTTCCCAGGTCAATAATAAATCATTTTGATTTTCAGTACAAAGAAGTAGCTACTGTGATATACATCATACTTTCATTCATTGATTTGACGATATATCTATTTAATTTTAATTTTTTCTAGCAAATATTTCAGAAATAAGTTAGTATGCTATTTGGCGTAAAAACATTATGACTTTATGTGTTGCTATCTCATACAAAATTAATAGAACAGTAGGTATGTAGTAAGTTGTAAACAAACGAATTGTTGCTTGCTTGAGTGACCACAACCGCGACTGCTAAATTCTTGGGTTTTTCATATTTTTAAGACGGAGATTTGGAATAGTTCTTTTTGTAAGGTCATAGATTCACTCTCTAAGTATACGGTATTTGGGTGGGACTCTATAACAAAAAGGGCCTTAAAAGTATAAGCAGACTGAATTCTTATTGCGCTTTTCGGTTTAAGGAGAATTTACTTAAATATTTTCATCAACATATTTTGTAAGAGGAAACTTTTTTAAATACCTACGTACAATGGTACATTACAACAATTGTAAATAATGGTCTAGCCTCGGGAATGTGACCTCATTACAAAGTAAATAGCTTTTATCATTGGTGTCACCCGCTATTCGGATCTTATTTATTATTGATTACCTAGTCCTAGCGAATAAAACCTAAATTTATTGTGCCATTCGATACAGTAATTCCTGAGAATGTCACGTTCAAAACAAACAAACTTTTCAGCTTTTAACCGATATCATGACTAAAGAGAGTCAGCATAAACACGTGGATATTTGTGGTTATTACAAAATAATAAGACGTGCTTAATAACTGCGCTTGCGTCGCCGGCGTGTTACTTTAAGCAATCCCGTATTTTTGTTCATTTTAATCTCCAAGACGCCCGTGTATAACTAGTCATTTGTTATAGGTTTCTGCAATGCTCTGGTTATGATCATATTGCAACAATCTATTTTTCTTTCAACAAAATTTCAATGAATTTACAAATGATATCTTTTAGGTACCGATATCAAATTATAAACAAAAGCGAAGAGTAACTAAACAAAAATTACAATCCCAAACCTATTGCTACTACCGACAATTTTGAAATAGAAAACTCAATTATTCTTAATTAACTTAACCCAGGAAAACCCGAGATCTTAAACTTGACAATCGTGCCGTTGATCTTTCTTCTAATTGGCAGTCGCCAGCTTCGTAATACAAAAGATTTATTATACATACTTACCTACCTTAATTATCTATTGGTGCAGTATTCTTAACCAAGGTGCTTGTAAAAACAAAAATGTCCTAGGATAGTAGAATCAGAGGCGGATTAAGCCTGATGAGCACCCTAGGTACCTAGGTACCTTATAGGCTTTATTACCATTATTTTATATGAGATTCTCTTCCATATTCGCTCTTCGTGCCTGGAGTCCTCTAAGGCGCACACGATTCGATTTTTGAGATAGGAAAATCATCGAATCATTCCTCTCACCCCGGCTGGGCGAGATGGCGACTCACTTTTATTCACTGAAAACAAACCCCTTGGCCTGTTCCAGGCTGGGGCTCCGATACATAACCCTTGACCCGCAGCCCCGGTAGAATATCAGCCCCATTAGACCCCATCTATGGTACGCTACACGTATCCGTATTAGAGATAATACGGCTATGGCAAATATCGTAACTAGTAGGAGTGAATAACGCTTTGTTTTTCTGTCTTGGGACCATGGAGAAAACCAAGATGTTTCATGTAAGTAAAATTATTTAAATTACAAGACAAAACACTAATTAAACACCATACATATCTAAGGTAAACACATGATTATAAGGTTTAAGAAGTTGTTTTACTTATGAACCTTTAAAAGCAGACTCGTTTTTCTGGTTTTTGCATGAAACTTGCTTACCAACAACGTTTAGGAATAACCGAATACGTGTAAACCCGCCAAAAGGCCATTAAAGTATTGAGGAAAACTGCTAAAGTATCTAAATATTTTCAATGTGTTTTTTATTCAGTTTGCAAAAATCACACCTAATACACAACATTATACTTACTTGCGCCTTAATATTTATAATAGTTTTTATGTACATGTGCTACGCTTCAAGGCTTCCTGTTTATCAAAAATACCAACTCCGCTTTAATTTTCGCTATGATTATATTTAAACAAAAACAATATTAAATAGGTAAAACAATCTCTCCTACATACCTACTTATAAAAATCCATCCCGAATTCTCTTGTTCATAGTCTCTCGGCTTAGTCACACATGCGTAATGCATAGGCCGATTCGGATATATCTTTTTATGTTGTTTTTCATATGATCAAAAGTAGATTCTAACCAAAGATTTTTTAAAGTAAAACAAATGGCTGTCACCGCCTTACATGTACTTACACCATTGCGAACCAGACTCTAGGCCGACGCTGAAGGCCGCGGTGGCTTCTTCCATAGAGCCTAAATTAGGTAATCAAGGGTTGCGGGTGCAAATGCAATTATGTGTGATTTTTAATTTGTAAGTTTGACATTCCTCCTCTCGCCGCCCAGGAGCCCTAATCATTTTGATGATTTTGACCCCTCTAAGAGAAACTGTGCTGGTCTGGGCTACTAGCTCGTCTGATGGCCAGCGATGACTTTGTACCTAAGAATCTACAACCTATTACTAGTTTAAACACCTGTAGTATTGTTTAAATACAGATAGCTACTGCCCAACTAATGTAAGACATTTTCCTTACTGAAGTTTTTCCCCAACACAAATTGTTTATACCTAAACATAAACCTGTTTGATCTATAAGAAGTCGCTAATGATTGCGTATAGGTACTGTATAAATACGGGCAAACTTGCTTAAATGCATTATTATGAATACCTAGTGGTTAGAGTTGTACGCAAACTTGTTGGTATGCTAACGGCAAATGAGGAAATGTAAACAAAAATAAACTTGTTGATTATTATTACTTTTTTTATGGAATAGGTGGCAAACGAGCAGACGGATCACCGGCAAGCGATCGGCGCCGCCCATGGACATCCGCAACACCAGAGGAGACACAGGTGTGTTGCCGGCCTGAAGGAATACGCTCGTTTCTTGAAGGTTTGAAGGTCGTATCGGTTCGGGAATACCGCCGCCGGAAGATCATTCCAAAGTTTTGCTGTGCGGGGCAGAAAGTTTCGGGTGAATCGCATAGTTGTTGACTGCCAACCATATATGTGATGGGGATGAAAAAAATTCTCTTTTAACTTCTGTTTTAAGTCTTCTCTGTTAGCTTTCAGGTAGCCTATAGGGATTCATGGCCATCTACGGGCCTCTGAGTGGGCACCGAATGCGAGCTATAAGTGCTTCGATTTGTAGGCTTCTCACAATCTTAAGTAACTTCTTTGTCCGATCACAGCCATGGAATCTGGCAGCAAACCGCCTGTCAGATCAGTGTGTGGTAATTTTCGTCCTTTACGAAGAGTAAAAAGTAAGGAGCCACGGCGAGAGGTTCATGTTTCGGATTATGTGGAGGAATCCCCGAATGCTGTCATAGCGAAGTGAGGACCACGACACGGTGGACCATGCCTACAGTAGTTGGACTGTCTTTGGGTGCATTTCCATAATGTATACAGGGACAGTCGTCGGTCATTTCTTTTTAAAGTTGTCTAAGGGGCTTCTGCACGGTTGGCTTCAGCCCCTCGTACGCCTGTGGAGGTGTACGAGGTGTTACATGTAGGGTTATTTATATTATATTCTGCTGTTTCCAGCGTATCTATCAATATTTTAATTTTAAACACTTTGAAAGTCAAAAATAAATGAAAGTAAATAATATAGAAAAAAGTCTTTCTTATTTGCTAGCATGTTTTAATAATGGTATTTTTTTTTATACAAAATAATAAAACATATGCAAGGTAAAAACTGATGGTTATCAGTTTGTTTCTGTACTGGACAAAATGGTGACTAAGCGACAAAGCCCTATTTCAATAAAAAATATTTCATCTGAGTTTTGATTTAAATTTCTTATTTAAAAACTTTTTATAGAAACTCTGTAAAAAAAATCAAATTACATCTCAATTTCTGCATGCTATGAAACACAGATTTGATATATTTGACATTGAACTTTTGACAGTTATCACGCACGCGTTCCGGCTTCATACTATTTGACAAACTATTGTTTTGAGCTTGTTTTTCGGTCAGAAAGAGAAATAGGATACGTACTTTCCATATGTCAGAGAAGGGCAGCAATAGATAAACGTCTACATTAAAATGACATTGATAAATTTTGTTGTCTGACAGTCTGACCGTCTGACAGTTGACACTACACTTGAGTAGCATTGCATTTGAAAAGCACGTGTTTATCGTTTTGGTTCACATAGTAAAGAAATAATTTACGAAATGGGTGTAATACAGAGAGTAAAGTAAGAATATTTGCCAAGAAATTATATAGGTTACAGGTGAAGTAATAACATTAACACTTAAAATTATTATTTTACAGGAAACCCACGACAAGAAAGGGTAAAAAAGTCTTGCAATCGAAGGAGCCTAAGCCCATTGAAGGGCCCAAACAAGCCTTGTTTCTTCAGGGTCGCAATCCTTCTGAGCGCACACGTAAACTTTTAAAGGATATTTATGATTTGAAGAAGCCAGATGCGGCTTATCTTAGCCGAAAAAATGATTTCGTGCCGTTTGAAGATGCGACACTCATTGAGAAGTAAGTTTGAAACAGTGAATTAAATATTGTGTAATATTAAACAGTGGATTACGCATTTTAGTAAAAATTTAATTGTATTTCTATTCATTATTATTATTAGGTTAGTTTTGTACTCTTTGTAAGCAAATATCATTGACTAAGTAATGTTGCAGTACATGTGGTAATATTTTTTCTCATAAATTACAGATTATGCTACAAGAAAGAAGCTGCATTATTTGGGGTGGGTTCCCACTCCAAGAAGAGGCCCCACAACATAGTACTAGGCCGTACATTTGACTATGGTATTTTGGATATGATAGAGCTGGGCGCAGACAATTACAAAGCAATGTCAGAGTTTCACAACATGAAGGTTCTAGCTGGTATTAAACCTTGTTTGGTATTTAATGGACCGGCTTGGGATCTGAACCAGGATTTGAAGAGATTGAAATCATTATTCACTGATTTCTTTTGCAGAGAAAAGGTAAGTTTATACCAGACAACCATCAAAGTAAAAAAGATGTGCTGTACAAGTTTATATCTTATCTCAGAATATTCTGAATTACTTAACTATTTACGTGTCCACTATGTTACCCTATGATGGACCATTATCAATCACAATACTATCACCACAATGATACCACAAAGCGCAGAGAAAGCAACTTTGTTATATACTAATGAATCAAAGTTGCTTTTTCTGTACCTATATCACTATGTATGCTTAAATCTTAAAACTATGCAACAGTTTATTGTAATAGCTAGAGTGATTGAAGAGGAAGGTTTATATGTATAATAACATTCTTTGAATAGTGGAGAAATGTAGTATTAGCTTGGCACCCGTGTGGACCTGTGACAAGTTTCTAGTCAATAGTACTAAATAATTGATAATAATGACTACTGTACATAGGCCTCTGCCAATTCATAGGACTAGTTGGCTAACAATATTTCTGTATTTTGATCCACCCTTTTTTATTTTTGTTATTCATTTAATATCAAAATGAATTTAGTCTATTATTGCATTTCAATATTGGCAATAATTTTTATTAAATTTCAGGTAGAATCAATAAGACTGCAAGGATTGGAGCATGTTATTAGTTTCACTGCCACAGATGATGGTAACATATACTTCAGATCATACAGAGTACAGCTCAAAAAAAGTGGACAGAGGACACCAAGAATCGAGCTTGAAGAAATAGGTATGTTAATATGTCTATTATTTAATTAAGTATAAGAGACCCATACATTGGCAGCTTGAACAGAATGGTACACACAGCCTAACACAAAATTTGGATGAAACAACACTACGCTTGCATTGAGATCTGTCTCCTTTCATTGTGATCTGTTTTGTGAGCCTAAGTGAAGTCTAAATCTTTTCCCTTTCTTACCCTATTCTCTCTTAAGACACCGAAAAAGGTAGTATCCATGGACAATTGTAGGAATTATTGAATAAAGCAAGTATTAACTTTAAATATTGTGTAATTTATTTCTTAAGACGTAAGCGTTACAAACGTGTGTCAAAAAGTGAAAAAAAAACAAAAGAATTGAGAACGCCACACAGCGGCAAAAATGCGAACTACTTATTTGATTGCGTTCCATTTCTAACATCCACCCCTGAACGCAAACCCATTTTTGCTATACAATATAAGTTTTTATGCTCAGTGGTACCCTTAGTTAGTATATCTGCAATCATATTATCGCCTCTACAATAATTAAATTTTATCTCTAAATTATTTACATGCTCTCTCAAAAAATGATATCTTATATCAATATGTTTTGAACGGGGTAAATAACAATCATTGGCAGACAATTTTATAGCACTTTGATTGTCACTAAATATGCAAAGCGGTCCATTTGAAGGCTGGCCGATCTCGATCTGCAGCTGTCGCAGCCACAGGGCCTCCTGCGCTGCTGATGACATGGCCATGTACTCCGCCTCGGCGGTTGACAAAGCCACCGTTTGTTGTCTCCTGGAGCACCAGGACACCGCGCCTCCCTGAGAAATAAAAACATAGCCCGTGCAGGACTTTCGGTCGATATTATCGCTGGCCCAGTCTGCATCACAGAAGCCTCTAAGATTTGGTTGATCATCTTTGGTATAGGTGAGCTTCAGATCTTTAGTTCCCTGTAAATATCGTAGTACTCTTTTGACTGCTGTCCAGTGTTCTGCTCTTGGTTCTTTATTGAACCTACTGAGAGTATTGACGGCAAATACTCTCTAGAATCCTGATCACAACTCTCATTCGTTACACAATCACCAGTAGTTTCTTGAACCAATGGTAAGGTGAGCTTTTCTTCTTCAGACAAGGATATCTCTGTAGGTGCCGGGACATTACTGCTGTGACTTGCAGAAGTAGATTGATTCCCTGGTGGCTGTGTCTTCATTTGTGAAGCTTGATAGTTACTAGATGAATCTGAAACATCATTAGTTACTTTCAAATTAGAACTTTTATTCTCAAAGAAGGTGACATCCCTGCTTTTTATAATCTGATATGTTTTTTCATCTAGTAAGCGATATCCTTTTGTATTGTCACAGTATCCCACTAAAATCATCCTTTTTGACTTTTTGTCCCACTTCTGCCGTTTTTCCTTTGGTACAAAGACCATAGCCTCCGAGCCAAATATTCTCAGATGGGACAAGTCTGGTTTGTATCCATTCCACATTTCAAAGGGTGTCTTACCCTGTAAAGCCTTATTAGGAGATCGGTTTAAAATATATGCTGCGGTCCCCACTGCCTCGGCCCATAGTTTCTTCTGTAGATTGGCATGGAACAGCATGCACCTAGCTTTCTCAACTAATGACCGATTCATCCGTTCAGCCAGTCCATTGTGTTGGGGGGTGTAGGGAGTGGAGGTCTGATGTACTATACCGCTGTTGGATAAGAAATTCTCAAAGTGAGTATTACAGTACTCAGTACCATTATCTGTTCTTAAAATCTTTATTTTCTGAGAACAATGGTTTTCTGCTTTGTTTTTATAGTCCTTGAAAACATCCAATAGTTTGGTTTTATTTTCCATGAAGTAAACAAACACCATTCTTGTATAATCATCGATAAAAGTGATACAGTACTTCATACCTGAGCAACTCAAGTTCTCCATGGGTCCACAGAGGTCAGAGTGAACAAGTTGTAAAGGTCCTGAGGCTCGAGAACCAAGATTCTTGAATGGTAATCTAGACTGCTTGCCTTCACAGCAAGAGACACACCTTGTCACATTACTCTCAGTGTTGGTAAGAGTCACACCCCTGACACTGTTGGGTAGTCTGTTGACATCCTGTGCTAGTTCGATGTCAGTGTATCCAACTCCTTTTACTGACAGCGGCTCCTGGTTGGCTACTGTAATTTTCTTTACCGGTGGTTCCGTGACATTGTACAATCCCTGCCTGTTACCGGTCATATGCATGGATGCACCCGAGTCAATGAACCATTTATTACACTGAGCACCTGAAAAGGCTGAAAAAGCTGCGATAAAACCTGTATCCTTTTTTCCTTTTTCATTCACAGTTGTCTTTTTAGTGCTCGTACAAAACTTCGCGAAGTGTCCATAATTATTGCATTTGTAGCATCTTGGCCCTTTCGTCTTTGGTTGTTGTGGCCGACTATGTTGTTTCCTTGATTTTGAACCAACATACAAAGCGGTACTGGTATCTGCTGATCTAACTTCTTGAAGTAGCTTGGTCTTGATAAGATCGGCACTAATCTTCGCGCCAGAGCTCTCAAGTCCCATAATCATCGGAGCGTAGACGTCAGGCAGACCGGCCAGCATCAATGTACCCAGCCACTCGTCGTTGACTTCAAACCCTATGTTCCGTAACTTATGGGCTGTGGTCATTATTTTGTGAATGTATGATTCTACATTACCGCTAGATTCCAGAGTACTGTTCACTAAATCTTTCAACAGCCCAACTTTTCTAGTTAATCCGTTGTCATCAAACGCTTGTTGCAGAGTCTCCCATACTTCTTTGGCTGTGCTGCAAGTTTGCACATGTATGTAATTTTGCGGATCTAACAACAATATCAATTTAGATTTCGCCTTAACATCTTTACAAGGATCTACGGGTTTGCCATCTTTGGGCTCCACACATTGCCACAAATCTTCGTGTTCGAGATAAGTTTTCACACTGAATTTCCATGTTGCGAAGTTTTCACGCCCGATCAACTTATCAAGATTGAACATGTGATGCGATGAACTCATTTTTTAAGAGTTTTTCGTAACTCGCCGGTCACTGGGACGCGTGTGTATAATCTCACTTTTTATTCCGGTACACGTACACCACTAAACACTGATAAATTCTGCACGAATATTTTGTACTGATACTTGCTAATCAACCACGCTCTGCTACCATGTAGGAATTATTGAATAAAGCAAGTATTAACTTAAAATATTGTGTAATTTATTTCTTAAGACGTAAGCGTTACAAACGTGTGTCAAAAAGTGAAAAAAAAAACAAAAGAATTGAGAACGCCACACAGCGGCAAAAATGCGAACTACTTATTTGATTGCGTTCCATTTCTAACAACAATGTCTACTCATTTGCCGTTTTATACCATAACTAGCTACTCTCACGAAGTTTCACCCATTGCTCGGCTCCATTTGATTGTAGCGGGATGTTTTATGGCCTGTAGCACTCGGGAATATTGTAGCTATCTATCAGTGAAAGAATTTAGCAATCTGATCAGTGGTTCCAAAGATTACCCCCTACATACACACAAAACCTGTTTATAATATTAGTATAGAAAAAACCATCCATGCCTGCATACTTAGTATTTGTTCATGGAATCAATAATCATCAATAATAAACCTTATTGTTTAGTTATTTATTTCTGAAACTTTCTACCACTATCCCAAGAAAATCAATGTTTAATGTGTATTTTCTGACTTCACAGGACCTTCAATAGATTTCAAACTCAGGAGAACCAGATTAGCAGCAGATGATCTTTTCAAGGAAGCATGCAAGGTACCGAGAGAACTCAAACCCATCACAAAGAAGAACATTTCCCGAGATGCTTTTGGTTCCAAGTTGGGTCGCGTGCACATGGGCAAGCAAGACATACAGAAACTCCAGACTCGCAAGATGAAGGGTTTGAAGAAAACGCCGGAAGAAAAGAAACAGATGTTGATGAAACGGAAGCAAGAAAGGAAAGCTGCCAGACAAGCTCAGAATGTGTCTGCAGAATAAATATACTGTTATTGTCTATAAATGGTTGTTTTCTTTATTTTCCCTTTTTAATGTTATTGTTTAATGGCCGGACTGTTCTATTTGAAATAACTTTTGAGGTTTTGTCATAACAAAAAAAAATAATTACATTACATATGAATAAATTAAAAACATCACGTGATTATCACAAACAGTAAAATTAGAAATTTTCCTAAATATTTATTATGCTACATAGCGTAAGTCCGAGTATTTTATGTTGGTATAGCACTGAATGTAAATTAAATATCAGGCGCCTGGTAAAAAAACAATAGCATATAACGCAGAGAAAACATTGTTTACAAGATAAATAATAGGCGTAGCGTTCAGAATCAAACAAGATATTATAATAATTTAAATTAACCAATTTATTTGTTCACTAGCTATATGTAAAACCCCGGCCGACGCGCGGTTTCACCCGCTGCTTGGCTCCATTTAATCGTAGCGTGATATTTTATAGCCTATAGCACTCAGGAACATTGTACCTATCTATCAGTGAAAGAATTTAGGCAATCCGACCAGCGGTTCCAAAGATTACCCCCTACATACAAACTTACAAATTTTACCTCGTTATAATATTAGTATAGATAATCAAATCTTTTTATTCTGAAATCTATAACTCACAAAGGGTCAGCAACGCATTTGAAACTCCTCTAACAAGTAACAACTCATAAAAATAATAGGTAGTTTACCCAACGCCTACTGTGTTGTCGATAACCTTTTGCATCGATGGTAACCAATAATTCATTTATTTTGACATAATAATCTATTAAAGATATAGGTACATGCATATTATATAAACAGATACCTTTATGGAACGTTAAACAAACGTTAATTAACATGTGACTATAGTTTTAAGTAGGTAAGTAAGTGGTATCTCATTAGATTGGAGATTTTCCACTAAACAATCAGAACTGACGGAAGTGATACATAAACAAGCACTTTGTCCGTTACTTACGGTTAAACAAAAATTCGAACTGATTATAAACCTTTTAGGTAACTACCTTCGTAGTTGCGGAAATACGAGTACCTACCTACAACCCACGCACAATAAATATTAAGGTTCTAAATTATCTCCTTGCAGTTGATTTAATTTAATATTTATTAAAGGGAAATACTAATTTACGACAGTTTGAAATTTTGATAAACTTGAAAGATAGGAAATATTTATTGTTTTGAGTTGGTTGGATATTGTTCCCTAAGTACCTATATTAAGTATATTTTTTTCAATTCCCTGAGATTTTTAGTAAATAGAATAAATACTACCTATGTAGTTGTTGTGGCGGTCTGTAGACCTACATGTTCTAAGGTGGCTACACGCCATACTTATAAGTAGTTTTTATTTGTTATGGATGGAGGGAGAAGAAAGATTGGGCCTCTGAAAACCCTGACCCGGTTGTTTAACGCATCCAGTGCCCCCGACGCGTATGTGCGTTTCCTTACGCTACTCTGTGTGCCCTCGACGCACCTGTGCGTTCTATACATTAATGTATAGACGTTTACGTAACGTTTTGGATTCCGATACAATAGTTCGTTACACACTAATATTGTATAAAAATAATATATTATTTTTTAAATAAAATCATAGTATTTTCTTTTATTAACGTTGGTTTTCCGTGATGTTGTGGTATCACTTCGGTCGAGCCAACCCATTCGTGCCGAAGCATGGCTCTGATACTTGCTCAAGATAGTTGGTTATTTCAAACAAATATAGGTAGTTAGACATTACGGGTCCGAATTTACTTATGATGTTTTCTTTTACCATTTGTTAGTGGTAGTAAAATACCTATAAAAATACCTATAGGTACGCTGAGATGGGCACATGTAAATGTGAGAACTTTAAATTTGAAAGTTTAAGGTATTTGCCAGGTTTCGAATCTGGTGCCCTCATGTATGAGAAGCCAAAAGAGGTCAACACACCCAACTTCCAAGTCACCACGAAGTTTTTCCCTGATCACCATGTAATTTTTTTGTTTTCCGTTACAAGATAATTTCCATAGCCCATAAACAAAACGTTTGCTAGTTGTATCTTAATCATACAAATGTAAATATTTTTGTATGATTAGGTAACATGTAACTACTAGATAATTATACTGAGGCTTATTTAATCAAGTAAGTGTTATTATTAAACTGTTGGATCTACCCACTTATTAAATTACAAATGCGTCAATAGTTTGGTAGATACCTATCTACTTATGGATGGATCTCTATGTATTTCTTTCGTAGTGTATAAATATGTATGTATTTCTTTATTATTTTACGCTACTTATCTAGATGAAACTATGTAGTGCCTAGCTATTTAGCTACCAAAACCAATACCAAGCCTAGGCCGAAAACGTATTTGCGACAGTTAAGTACTATAGCAAATATGTATGTCACCTAGCTACAAGCTACAACCGTTTAGTCTTCCAATAGGAATTGAATGTTTTATCACAATACACAAATAATAATTAGTACGTGATTATACTTAGGTTTAATAGTAGGTAATACCTATATTGTATAACAAGTTGTGTCATCAAGTCACAAGTAAAAAAAAATTGAATAGATAAACTTTAGGTACTGCGTATTAAAGTGTGTAGGTACAGTCAACGTAGTTATTTAGTATGCAGATACTTAAAAAATAAACATTGATTCAGTACATACCTAAGTACAGTGCTTAGATAGTAACCATTGGTTTACTATTGAGCTCCCATTCTGAGATATATTCGTTAAGAAGCATAGGAACAATAGCTACAGTGACAGTAGACTCGTATCTGTGTTGAATCAATTTTTATTATCTTAAATGAGTAACAACTAAATTGGCTCACAGTACCCATATAAGTACGTACTTATATCAAATGTTAGGGATAATATTTAGTTTTAATTCCGCGACAAAAATCCAGGCTTGTTACAGGATGCAATCCCACTCCTATGCAATCATGCATATGCACATGCAGCAAGGGTAAACATGCATATGCACACATACACAAAACGGAAAAGCATGCCACGCAATCAAACCATAATCAATGAAGGCATCCTCAGGAGATGTTGACTCGACGAGCGCTCGTCATGTCCGTTTTGTGTATGAGTGCATATGCATGTTACCCTTGCTGCATGTGCATATGCATGATTGCATAGGAGTGGGATTGCATCCTGCAACAAGCCTGGATTTTTGTAGCGGAATTAAAACTAAATATTATCCCTAACATTTAATGTCATGGATTTCCGCAAAGTAACGCCTGATTCTATAAATTACCTACAGCTAATGATCGCCCTACGTACCGTTCTTATTAAAATATTTTAAGTATTAGTTACAATTACAACACTCTTATCTTTACCAGAAGTGTTTTAATAATGTGAATAGGAAATGAGCAAAAAGGTTGCTGCAGACACGGCCCTTTACGAATACCTAATTATTATAATCGGTAGGTAGTGTACCTTATTATCCAAATACAACAGGTGAATACTTAGTGAATAATAAGTCTTGTTTTTATCTACATTTGAGCCAGCTACCTAGTATATTATGTATCATGTAGGTAGCTTATCTATTTTTTTAAATATAGGTATCTGAGTGCCTAAAATATAGTGTGGTTGCGCTTAACGTAGCTAAAGTAACCTATTTGGATGTGTATTCAGAGGATTACTAGAAATTTTACAGTATTACTGTATGGGAAATGATTGTTAGGTACTGACTTAATTTCTATGAGCGTAGAAAATTATCTACAGACTTCTCCCGCCTTAGGTAAGGAGTGTCAGTCTCTTACTGACTAAAACCTACACCGTACCTTCTCCTGCTCTGAGTAGAGCTGCGGTACACTAATTCGCTTGCCCCGCAACCTGGGCTGGAAGTGAAATTTATATCTAAGTATATATTGTAAAACTGCAGAGTTTGTTTGTTTGTTTGTTTCAACGCGCTAATCTCTAGAACTGCTGGTTCGAATTGAACAATTCTTTTTGTGTTAGATAGTGCATTGATTAAGCCTTCCTCAATAATAGGCTATAAATAAAACCCCACGCCATGACCAATAGCAGCCGAGGACCGGGCAAAACCGCGCGGAAGGAGCTAGTAAAGGATAATATTATAAATTAATCCTTCCTAACTTTATATTAGGTAGGTAGGTACCTACTATTCATGTATTTACGGTAGTTTAATTAATTACTAGGTACGGATTTCTGCAGTGATATTTTAATGTCATTAAATGTACTTAATTTTTTTTTCTTTTATTTAATAGGTCGGCAAACGAGCAGACGGATTACCTGGTAAGCAATCAGCGCCGCCAATGGACACTAGCAACGGAGGAGTTACGAGTGCGTTGCCGACCTTTTAGGGATTAGGGATTTGGAGATTTAGGGATTTGGGAGGGATTGGGGGAGGGGAAGGATTGGGCCTCCGGTAACCTCACTCACACGGCGAAACACAACGCTGTGGTTATTTCACGCCGGTTTTCTGTAAGGCCGTGGTATCACTCCGGTCGAGCCGACCCATTCGTGCCGAAGCATGGCTCTCCCACACTTATCATATTTTATAACAATGCTTACAATACATGGTAGATACTTTCGCAGTTTACTTTCACCAGTTGCACATAAGACAAGGTCATAAAGTTGATACTGCAAAGTAGAAGGTTAATAACCGTATCACAACTGTCTGTCTGTCTCTCATAATCATTTATTGTAAAGAATTATTGCAGATACAAAACTGCTTAAGGCAAATCCGGCTTTAACGTTCGTTACTATTGTCCGACACGTTAGGTAGCTACCTACCTAAGAATGTCCGAAAATTCATTCGATGTGGTGGTGTCGCTATATAATACATACCTACTTATTGCACTAGTACTCTTCTCGTGATAACCTTATTTTTTGAGGAAGGGAAAATCATAAAATTGCTTCTCCTGCTCTGGTTGGCGCGAGAGGGAGTGTCAGACAACATCAGACAGGACGAGGCTGCGCTTTATTATTGCGCTTGACATCATCATCCAGCTGAACATCATTCCTATTGGGCATTTGGGCCCCTTTTGTCGTGGTCTGG